TTCTTCCAGTGCTCTTTTTTACCTAGAAACAATAAAATAAAGGAGAAAGCTGGGATCCTTTGGTGGTGGTGGTCACATACTCGTTAATAAGATCGCTGACATTAGATCAGTATTTCTATTTATTTATTGTTAAAAAAGCCGTACAGGAAGTATTGTTGATTTTACCACTCATTTGAAAATTAAAATCTAATATTCTCTTCAATTTATGCTGAAACTGAACTTCAGTTGACTGCTCTTCTGGAGGGTCATTATTCTCATACCATTTCTCTGCTGTATGGGCTTAGTAGCACTTACTATTACTTTTCAAAATTGAAGAGGACGTTCCTTCGATACATGATTGCGAGGATATGGATGACGAACCTAAACTCGTATTTCCACTTCATTTTTCGGACACTGACTTGCTCGATGACTTTCTTCTAAATACTTTTTCTTTTTTCTATAAAAAGTTCTAGAGTATTTATATACTTTTTTCCTATACATCTTCTTTTCGCTTTACACAGTAAGTACAACAGAAAAAAAACAATTGCTCTGTGACAGTACAATACAGAATTTTTTGAGGTTAGATGTAGATAGTTCCGCTTCCACAAGAAAAATCGATATCGTCGCGCTCGTCGCCGTAATCCAACGTAGCGATTGGTTATAATTTTGAAGTTGCTTTGAGTCGTTTAATGAAACGTTGTATTACGTTGTAGTTAGCACGTACTTGCACTCGTAATTTAAAAGTACGTTGCACAACGTTGTACTACGTTTGTTATTCTGTAGTACAATAAACATGCCTTCTGGCGACGTAATGAAAACGGTATAAAACCCATCCTCTAACAACGTTGTGCCCTACAACGTTTACCAACGTTGTTAAGGGTCAAAATATACAGCTGTTTAAGTGCAACGTCGCGTCGTAGCGACGTTTTGGCTACGTAATTTGAGGTTTGGGTATGCATAGAGTAGTCAAAACTATTCGGAAGTTGGAATTTTGTTACTTGGCAACTATTATATGCATGTATACATGTGAGTAATGTATGTGTAAGTAGTGGGGCTGTTGGATAAATAAATAAAAACAACGGAAGTCCAAAATTCTTTTATTTTTGATTCAATGTAGTTAAAGAAATATCGCAAATTATCTTCTCTGACAACATCTCTGCTATTCTCCCCAGTTTACGTTAGTAAATCAAGCGTCTCGGTACTATCTTAGACCCCACACAGATTCCGGCATATGCCAGTTATTACTTAAACATCTCGACTGGAAATTGCGGCAGCAGTGCAGCGGCTGGATCTGCGGTCCAGAACCGTATTTACTTTATCAAGTGGATTGCAGTCCGCCCTAAACATATTCCGCCGCCGATCAGACAATGTAAATTTCGGGGCCTAAGTAATTCAGGGCTGCGCCCCCTTGTTTAGTTTGCATAAAGGGCAAACTGGCTAATAGCGAGATTCCTAATTCTTGGTTGGAGGTGCATTAAAGCGGAACGATGGCCTGATATACATTTGAATAAATTAATAATACCCCAAGCAGGGAAATAAATTCTCTAAGATTTGTGTAACTCCGGCAGCATATTCTTCTGATAAAAATAAGTAAAAAAGTTCGTATAAATGTATGTCCTAAAATGCTTACTTTCAGAGATACCGGGTGTAGAAGTTTCATTTTTATTTCGATTTTTTCTCAATAATTTCTGAAGTAACGTCAATATTTGGATGAAAATTGGTGTCTAGGAATTTTTTGACATAAGAAATTTGATTTTGTTGTCAATATGACTCCTACTAGTAGAGGGCGCCACCTACATGTGTTTTAGCTGATTTGAAGCGTAATAACTTTTTGTCCGTACCTGTATAAATATAAAATTTTTGAAAAATCGAGATTTTTTAGTTTTTAGTTAAAAAACATAATTTTTTTATATAATATGACAACATATGTATTAGTATTGTATTATTTGTTGTATAGTATACAACATAGTTATTATGTAATGTGTATTAGATTAAATTTACAAGAAAGAAAATCCAGAAAAGATCCAGTGGTTCTCAAAATTTTAGCAAAAAATCGTTTTTTTTTGGAAATTTTCAAAGTAAAATAACTCCGTTATTTTGGACTTATTTGAAAAACGATAAAGAGAGAATATGTTTCTTTTATCGAGATCTATCACCTCTTAAAATATTTACACTTATTTCTGGGACACCCTGTATATTAGTAGTTTTTTAAAATATCGCTTGTATAGAGTCACTGTAAAACATTGTAGCTACTCTTGCCATCTATTAGTCAGATTCTTAACTACAGCGCAATTTTGAACAGAATTTCAAGACTTATTGATCCATACAGAGAAATCTTAGAAAATAACCGAAAGCTCACACGTTGTATAAAAGAATTCTTCTACATATTCTGTGAAAGATGAAGTTTATATGTTTCGTGATAGATGGCACTTTTAACTAACTTTTTTGTGTTCAAATCAATAAATAAATTTACCAATTTTAAAGGGTGAGTCTAAGTGGAAATACTTTTAGGGGTTGTATATTTCGACGCCAGATTATGATTTTTTTTTCGGGAAAAATAAAAAACGGTAAAGATAAAATATGTCTATTTTATCGAGATCTACCAGCATCGAAAATAATTACACTTATCTAATACCAACCCTGTATATTCGAAAAAAAAAAACGAAAGAAAAAAATTTGGGGTAAAAATAATACACTCACCAGAATATATATAATGAAAAAATTTATTTTTATAAAATATTATATAGCATAAAATGTTGTAATAAATATCTACATTATAAAGTTGTCATAGAGGAAACTAAAAAATAAAACACTACAAACTAGTAAAAAATCATTCATATTAACAAAGCAAGTCAAATAATTTGATATTAACGCTTTTTTAGGTTCAACCAGTAATTTTATGAATAAACCTTTCTTACTATAATAACTGGAAGATCGAAAAAAAGCACCTCGGTGGTATTTGAAATGATATATCATTTGTTATTTATCAAAAGTTCACATAAAAAAATTGTAAAAAATATAATTCAATTTAAAAAAAAGTTAAAAAGTTCTTTTCCGGAACTTATTAAGTTTATACATTTAAATAGTAATGTTTATAGTCATTTCAAAGGCTACTATGACGTCGTTTTTTTTCGATCTTATAGTATTATTAAGTAATGATGATTCAGAAAGAAATACAGCAGTGTATAAAAAAATATAGATTAAATTAGATTTTGTGGAAGTTTTAAAGAGTATTTAGTCACAAGCTAAATAGAAATCCCCAAAAAAATCAAAAAAATCCAGAAAATAATCTAATTTATATTAAAAATCACTGAAATGAAGAGCTTGGTAATAAAATAATCAAAATACAACACTACTTGGTCCTAAAATACACTTAATACAACATTATTTTATACTCTTTAATTCTAATACCACAGGCAAATTTGATATAATATAATATATCTTACTTTTATCTCTCAGCAAATATCTTAAAATTAACTCACATTATTACCAAAACTTTGGTCTAGCGTATGTAATGTACAAATATTCCTTATTTCATTTTATTTCTTGCTTTAATATTATCGAAAAACATACAGACTAAAAATTATATTAAAACACAACAGAACAAAATCTTAATTATTATAATATGTCATGGATATGTTATTATTCTTGTTTAATATGACAGATAATATAATGTAAACGATAGCAACAATATTCCTGGGTTCAGATTGTCTATATTTCAGAAATCAGGAATAACATCCCTAATAATAAGTTTAAAAAAAATTAAACGAATTTAGAACAAAGTAATAAAACATTTTTATAGATATAAAATACAATTAAACAAAAAATGTAACGTATATATCATTTCTTTTATTAAAAATTTAATATTTCATAATGTCAACAATGTGATGTAGAGAATTTCAAAAATGTAAACTTTAAAAAAACATTAAACCATTCTAATCATGATATAGTAGGTAATGACCAACTCAAATTAGTGTTTTAATTGATCATGGGTTAACTAAATTATAAAAAAAAGATCACTAAAAATTATAACTTCTTTTAAACATAGAGGTAATCAAAATTTAACAAAGATATATAATATTTAATTAAATTTATAGTAATAATAGCACAACTCACAGTTTTTTTCCGTGAATTTTTCCAAAATGATTGATTACAAACATATAACAAGGTTGTTCACCTCAAAATTGATACAAAAAAACTGTCTGTCTCGATCTAAATCTCCTATATAATAAAATGTTTTATATATACAACAAAACGCTAAAAATAACTATATATACGTTCCTGTTATTTCTGTTAGTATGTGTATGTGTGTGAAAATTTAAAATTGACTTTTTGTTGCGCATCCCTGAGTAGCGGAAGATTTTTGTTTTTTTTTTGAGATAAAAAAATATGAACACTGATTTTGAATATTTATAAATAATACTTCCAAATTAATTTAATAGGACTGTATACAGAACTTTTGATAGTCCCTATATAATGTTTATACATTTTTTTATACAGGGTGAGTCATAAATAAGTGCAAATATTTTCAGGGCTGGTAGATCCCGATAAAAGAAACATATTTTCTCTTTACCGTTTTTTAAATAAGTCCAAAATAACCGAGATATTCAGAAATTGGAAAATTTCCAAAAAAAAGTTGATTTATTTTTTAAAAAATTTTGAGAGCCACCGTAATTTTCTGTATTTGCATCCCTTTTAGTGCTTTAACCAGGGTTCGGAAGTAGTTAATTAAGACGTAATATACCTGATTAACTACGTGTAGTTTCTCTTCAAAACTACGTCTTTTCCCGTTCATTAACTACATGAAAACTACGTTAATAAACTATGTATTGATATTATGAATAATTTTGCTTTCTATGAGGGGTCTAAATAATATGATATGGGAATATTATATTTAAAGCCATATTTCTTCTGTTTTCTTAAATACATTGCGTTTTCTAGAGTTTCAATTTATTATAACTTCACCTCAAACCTTTGATATTTGAAAGTTACATACATAGGTTACATAAACTACACCCTCTCCATAAACTACATTAACTACATGTAATGTAGTTTATGTAGTTTTTAAAAGTAACATGTAGTTTTCCGAACCCTGGCTTTAACCATAGTAATATCAGAGATCAAGATATAGATAATAATATAGAGGAAAATTAAAAAGAAAAAGCATAACTTCAAGATGTTTTTGCGAAAAAAACACACAGGCGTGTTCCTGGAATCGAAATATACCACCCTTAAAAATATTAGCATTTATTTAAGACTCGCCCTGTATATTTAAAGCAGTCCAGTTTATTTTCTGGTAAAACCCTAGTAAGGAACATAAATGAAAAACTATAATTTTTAAGAAAAAAATTTTTGTGTCTTTCAATTCAAAGAAGGTGGATATAAATATAAATCATTTAGAATTGAGAAGTATACCAAAATGGACCACACTATACAGGATGTCTGTTAAATAAGTGCAGGATCTGGACTAAAGAAACAAATTATCTATTTAGAATTTTAGAAAGTTAGTTAGGCTGTTTATAATTTATTTTAACTTAGGAAAATTTAAATAAATAATGATTACACACACATTTTGAGAACCGCCGGTAACGATCGGTAATCAGGCGACTCTAATTTATTTAACAACCTGTGTTGCCACATGTACAAGAAAGTATGCACTTGATTGAAAATACTTAGAAATATGGTGAACGTATCAGAAGCTTCAATAATCGTTAAGATTTGTTATTTTAGTTGTAAAATTGTTGTTGTAAATACTAAAAATCAAGTACTGTGCGTTTTTCTAGAATTATGAATAATGCACATTAATAGGGTTTGAAATTAATTTTCATATTTTTTGTCTAGAAAATTAAAATTACCCTGAACTTAAAAACATGTACACATATAGAGAATGTGGGCACCGTAAGATGTGGCAACATTGCAAGGGGGTAGAATCTGCGGTACTAAAAAGTTTTTGAATTTTTTTTTAAAAAAGTCACAAAAAAATTGTAAAATAATTGTACTTATTTAAAAGGCATCCGTTATATAAAGTATTATTTATAAAATTCACCCGAGTAGAACATCGAATAAACAAAATCAAGGTTCATGTTGTACCACAGAAGGAAATAAATATTCCTCGGTTAATAACATTAAACATAAACAATCATCCTCGGTCTATTTTGGTCCACAACTACCTTCTACGGGCATTTTGTGCAACACCTCGTCCAATAGTTGAAGCGCTCTGTGCAAATGCACTTCGATCCAACATGGGGTCTCTTTAATCTTTTTTCTTGGATAATCCCTACCCCAACCCTTGACGAAGCTCAAACGCAATATACACAGACGTCTCAAATCGTCAACCTGTCAGAAAAAAGGACCAAATTAAAATTAAATTAAAATACACAAAACATAGAAAAAATTAGAAAATTAATCGCAAAATATTTTCCGATGCACGTCTATAAACCTGACTAAATGAAAATTTGGCAAAAATGTTTAAATTTATTGTCTAAAATTTAAGATACCGAGCTGCTCTTCATTTTACTTTATAGAGCAAATGATTGTAACAGATATTTTATTTAGATTAAAGCTGCAAAAATTAGTTTAAACCGAATTTTATTATCGCTATGTTGGTCAAATTGCGCCGTGTTCAGCAACGTTGTCATTTATTATTTGACAATTATCCTAATATCAGTCATCATATAGTATAATATTGTGTTATTGCTGAATCTTTGTCAGTAATTCTCGTTTTTTTTGCCTATTTTCATAGTATTTTTTTAAAAATCGTACTTTTAAGCACAAACAGTTCTTTCAAGAACTAAATTTTCGAGTTTTTGTATGCATTTCTTCAAATTGTTTGTTGAAAATATGCCGAAGCTTTTAAACAGTCGAAGCAAAGTGCTTGTAGCATCCCTGATGAACTATTTTGAAGTAGAACGTGACAATAAAGGTTCTTGACTGCAGTCAGAGAAGTAAGTTTGATTGATAAGCGCATTACAACAATTTCAAAGTTATTTCTATGTTAGTTTTTATTAAATTCTGTGATTATTAGTATGTGTATTAATAGCATCCTCTTACTTGTTATTACCACTTATGGCATTGTACGTCAATAAATAAATAAATAACCCATAATAACTCTTAGAATAATCCTCATAATGCTCATAATCAATGCTCATAACTCATTCATAATCACGTTTTGGCCAATATAAAAGGTAAAATAAGCTATAAAACAAATAAATCAATTAATTACTAAAATATTAGTTGTTAAATTAAAAATAAAACGTAAAAATCTATAAAAAACGATATCATCATCATCATCATGTAGCCACCGTTGTCCACTGCTGAACGTAGGCCTCCTCCATATTTCTCCATGTCTCTCGATTTTGGGCCGTCATCATCCAATTTCCAGCAATCCCCTTTACATCATCGGTCCAGCGTGTCGGTGGTTTGCCTCTGCTACGTTTATCTGCTCGAGGTCGTCATTCTAACAATCTTCTAGTCCACCTGTCTTTAGATGTTCTGGCCACGACATGACCTGCCCATCTCCATTTCACTCGAGTTACGTGTTTCACTATGTCTTTAATTTTGGTTTTTGTCTGATAGTGTTATTAGGAATTTTGTCTCTTTTAGTTATTCCAAGCATGGCTCTCTCCATGGCTCTCTGGGCTACTCTTAAATTTTCTGCTGACTTTTTCGTTAATGTTAGAGTTTCCGCTCCATATGTAATTACCGGCAAGACGCATTGTTCATAAACTTTCCTCTTCAAGCATATGGGTATAATCACTTTTAAAGGTCTCCCGCAGTTTGCCAAAAGCAGCCCAACCCAAACCTATTCTGCGCTGTATCTCGTGTGTTTGGTTGTTCTTTCCGATTTTTGTATTTCGTGCCCGAGATATTTGTATATATGTGTTTCTTTTATGTCGGCGTCACCTATTCTGATGTTCTGTGTCAGCACTAAGTTTGTCATTATTTGCGTTTTACTCGTATTTATCCGGAGACCGACTTTTAATGAGGCCTGCTCTAATTCTTCGAGCATCTGCTTTGAATCTCCGATGATATCTGAGACAAGGACGATGTCATCTGCGAATCTGAGATGTGTCAATCTTTCACCATCGATATTTATGGCCCTATTCTCACAAGAGAGTGATTTCATTGCGTATTCAAGGACAGCTGTAAAAAGTTTAGGCGAAATGGTATCCCCTTGTCGAACTCCTCTGCCTACCTCAATTTTATCTGTTGTTTAGTGAAGTTTTACAGTTGTGGTGGCATTACTATATATGAATTCTATAAGCCTTGTATACCTATTATCTACTCTTCCCTGCTCCAATGCTGCTATTATTGATGTTAATTCTACTGTGTCAAATGCTTTCTGGAAATCAACGAACACCAATGCTAGGGGCTTGTTTAATTACTTGAAGATGATCGTTTGTTCCATAACCTTTCCTAAAGCCTGCCTGTTCTCTTGGCTGATAGAAATCTAGTTTACGTTCGAGACGTTTAGCAATGATTTTGGTAAACAGCGACACATAAAAAACGATATATCATTTATCAATTTTAAATTAAGAATCATTTTAAAAATTCATCACAATCTGGCAGCGCTGTCGCCATCGCTTGTCATTCAAAGTTGATCACGTGCATCGGAAATTGTTTTGTGACTACCGTATGTTATATTCTGCAGTTAAAAGTGACGTTTGGAAAAAAAAATTTCGAACTTTTTTAACATTTAATTTTAATAATACTTACTCCTATCCCCGCCGCTGCTGAGAGGCTCATAGCCGGCGCGATACCCCCCACCGAGTGGGGTCCGGGGATATGGCCAGCAACGGCGGCTGCCTGAGCTGCCGCGGCCGCCTGCGCTGTTGCCGCTTGTGCCGTCATTTGCTGGTGGCATTGGTGTAGGTCGAACACCTAAAAATGGCATCGTCGATGTATTAGACCGGTTTAGCAGCGTTGGAAGGAATAATAACGTAGAGCTAAGAAATTTGTGGTTTTGTAGGGAAGAGGAAGGGTATTATTATTCAGTAAATAATTTCTCTAAAGTAAATTGGTATATACAGGTTGGTCCGAGCTGTATGATGGAAACTTCGACAACGTATTCTACAGATAAAAATAAGTAAAAAAGTTCGTATAAATGTATGTCCTAAAATGTTGAGTTTCGGAGATACAGGGTGTAGAAGTTTTATTTTTATTTCGAATTTTTCCTAGTAATTTATGAAGCAACATGTTTAATTTATGTCAATGATGACAGGTATTGATAATTTCGATTCCAAATATTTCGAGAACCATTACTCGTACCAATTTTTATCAAGAGACCTTTTTTAAAAAACGTAAAAACCGTCGTAAATGTATATTTTTCTACTCAGTAGTTTTATACAGGTACGAACGAAAAAGTATTACTCTTCATACCAGTTAAAAATATGTAGATGGCGCCCTCTACAAGTAGGAGTCATATTAACATCAAAATCAAATTTCTCAAAATGACTATATATGCACAAAAAATATTCAAAAAAGTCAAAAATAATCTATATTTTCCAACTCTATTCAAATTTTTCAAAAAGTCTTATAAAAAAGCAACAAACAGTGAACAAACAGTAAAACCTATTTTCCCCAAAACTTACTTTTTCGAGTTACTGCGTTTTTCGTTAGGACGGCAGTATAGGAACTTTTTTATTTATTTTTAAACGCAGAATATGCTGCCGAATGTGGTATACAGGGTGTTCCGATATTTTTAAACGAAACTTTGCCCTCGGTAATTATCACCGTTAAAATCCCCTTTATACATAAACAACTAAACATTTTCTTTACTCTTTATCTTTACTATACCGTATAATCGAAAAAAAAACAGCGTCCTGTTGGCTTGGAAATAATAATTATAAAATCCAGCGATCTTTATTTCATAGCCATTTCTGACGCCGTTTTTATTTTCTCGATCATATTTGTACTTCGATGATTTCGAGCGCAACGAAAGGACTGCTGAACCTCCCTATTTCTATTGGGACATGGACAGCAGCAATCGGTCGGTAACCTTGGCAATGAAAAACATATTTCTGAGACCCGCGGAGGGGAAACGGGGAGGGAGGGGGTATATACGTCGAGGCCGTTGAATTTTGCCCGTTTTAAAATCGATGAGAATATTATATTACATGCAGAGAATTACTTAAGTGTGTGATAGGCTGATTGCAGCCAGTTTTAACGGTATTTTTGAACCATACAGCTCTATATCCGTTGGTTTGTTGATTATTTTGATCGTTTTCAGGGAATTGATACCACCATTTTATGATGTATATGATTGTAAATCTATTTATTGATTATATACATTGAATTTTAAACTTATATCATAGTTTGAACGGTACTTTATCACACCAGTTGTGTCTTAGTCTGTTTTGTTGCTTATTTTCAACGTTTCAGCTAATATATTTAATCAATTTTTGATATATATAAATAGAATTTTGTTTTATAAGAACATATACATTGAATTTAAACTTATATTGCAAATTTAATTAAATTTTTGAACCCCTTGTGGTGTACCAGTTTGTTTTATTTACAATTTTGTATGTTTGAACGAATGTATATCAACATTTTATGATGTATATGGATGAAATTTTATTTAATGATCATTATATACATTGAATTTAAACTTATTTTTTAGTTTAGATTGTATTTTAGAACATTTGTTGTGTCTTGGTTTATTTTGTTGAATATTTTGAATGTTTGAACAAATGTATATCGTTATTTTATGAAGTATATTAATAAAATTTCTTATAGTAAGATTATATACATTGAATTTAAACTTTATCATCAGTTTTAATTAAATTTCTGGACCATTGTTGGGCATCAGTATGTTATGATGAATATTTTGAATATTTGAACGAATGTATATCGCCATTTTATGATGTATATGAATGAAATTTCGCCTAACAAACCTATGTACATTCAATTTAAATTTATATTGCAGTTTTAGTTCAATTTTTGGACACTTGATGGGTCTCGCTGAGCTTTTTTTAATTTTAAAAGTTTGAACGAATATATAACGCAATTTTAGGACATATATGAACGAAATCCCTTTTAGTAAGATTATATATCTTGAATTAAAACTTAGATCCCAGTTTAAAGGGTGTTTTTGAACCCTAGCTGAGAGACTGGAGTTTGTTTTAATGATTATTTTGAAGGCTTGAGAGAATATACTTTGCAGTTTTATATTATCCATAAAAGATTTTTTTTGTAATAAGAATAAAAACTTACTTTGATGTTTGCTCCAGGGAATATCTTGTGAACAGCCTCGCCTGGTTGCCTACCGTTCTCCCTATCTAGGTAATAACTTTGCACAAACACTGAATGATCACTTAAACACCTCAACCAAACGTCGCCTTCACCTTTAAGTGTCAATTCCACACCCCGTCCAATGTGAAGCCTTGATTTCTCACTTTGTTCCGTCCTGTGAACATTACTGAGTGCTCCTAGAAACGTAAAATATATGTTAGAATTTTTAAAAAGTTTTGTTTTCGGTAAATTTACCCAAACAAAATCTGTTTCCTTTACTAGGATCGACATATCCATCAATTGAAACGGTAGGAATCTTCGAGAGTACTTTGAAAGTCTCCCCGACCTGAGTATCCAGCTCAAAATAAGCTATTGAGCACCAATACTCCGGAGCAGGTTGATTAGACAAAAGTCCAGTATTGGTATTTTCATTTTGAATTGACATGTTTTGTCTCTGCTCCCAATTATTGACTGGAAAAACATTATTTTTAATGGGTCCAGAGTTGTTCAGGTTCTGGACTTGAGAATTCTGCAGAGGTTGAAGTTGATTTGGAGGTGTGCGAGATATTTCCAGTAAGTTTTGAGACGGTTGATCCTGTTTTCCGTTGTAGTAATGCAGATTTTGTTGCTCGGAAGCCGTAATGTTGATAGGCTGTAAAGAAGAAGAGAATATAGACTTCAAGAGACAGTTCAGGGTAGCTGTATATCTCACCTGAGTCATTTGAGGTGGAATATTCACAGGCTGAGTTGTGGGCATGTGATGTAAGGCGACCCCTCCCCAATTTGTGATGTCATTTGCTTGCTCCTGAGGTAGATGAGGTTCTTCCTTTGGTATTTGCATGGTAGGCATGTGAATCCCGAACATGCTCTGCTGGGGAGGCGGTTGGTTGATGAGCTGATGCGGAGGATGCGGAGATGGATGGGAGTGATGGTGTTGAATCGTTTGACCAATACCTGTTTTTTGGAGATATGAATCCGCCACATAGGTATATAGACATTTTTTATCATTATATTAAAATAAAAATTACACTACTTATTATTATAGGCCTCCTCAGACACATGATAGTTGTCTGCTTGTTGGTCCCATTCAATCTTACCTATATCTCCTTCCACTTCCATGATTCCATTTGTCCTTGCTGGGCCTGAATGTAAGGTTAGAGACGAAAGGTCCAATCCTGGCGAGACCACCCTTTCGTAGTGGTAAGGGTTGACACAGACCAGGTCGCATTTCAAGTCGAAAGCGTAAGTGCACAGCTTGAGATGCTTCAGTTCGTTTTTGTGAAGGTCCGGCCATCTCCAAATGCGCGCGTAGATCACGTGGGGGAATCCCTTTCTAGCAGCCACCTGTTAGGAGATGATTCAAGTTTACACCAACAAAAAATGAGTGAAAGAGACGCATGTAAAGTCAGAACCGATGCCTGATGTCTATTAAGGTCTAGAAACGGTCTTGTTCCAGCCACTAGAAAAAGAAGAAAGTGTTCAAAGGATGGGGAGACAGTCCCTTTCACTACCGTAAAAGTAGCAAAATAACCGTTCGGCATTTAACGTTTTATGTAAAACTGGTATTTTTACAGAAATGAAGAAGGAAATTAAAGATAAAGGATTATACTATATCCGTATTGCAGCACATTTTTAGACAACTTCTTCAACACGGAAATAGATTGAAGTTTCGTGATTACAGTGATATATAAATTATATGGTTTTGTAACAAAATTGCTCGCTATTTTATGGCAAATGCTGAAGCTCTGCAAACCTTAATCAAGCCTTAATCAAAGCACGTGTGTTTGGAATTTTGGGTGTGGCTTAACACGACAGGATCGGGCTAAACCTTAGGCAAATTTCTGAAATATAATATATATTTCCTTCGGTCTTTTAAGCATATTCTGCCAGAACAATCTAAACTCACTCAGAGAACTCTAAGGCCAGGAAGCAACTGAAGTAAAGGTTCTAAGGGTCTACAAGGATAATTATTATCAACACTGTATTATTGAGGGGGGAAACCATTTTGAAAGGTGAGGATTATATTATATTATATTATATTATCAGTAACTATCTACTGGGAACAAAAAGTTTTTCTTTAGATTTACTACAGAGCAAGAAAAAGAATTAAAGATGTAAATTCTGATGTTGGTCAGGGTCTATAAGGATAATTATAATCAACACGGTATTATTGAGGAATGGCGTGAGGCATAGGAATAGTTATTAATTGGCGTGGCACTGGAATAGCGGTGAAGTGGTATGGAAGTGAAGTAATGCGCACTGGAGCGACGTTGGTGTCACTGCTTCATCTCACCAGTAATTTTATTAATATCGAAAATGTCATCAGCCTCAGAGGATGAACTAAGCACTTAAAACAAGGAGGAAAAGAAAAATTTGAAGAAAAAATATTGTTATTGCGTTCACATCATTGTTAACTACTTAGAACGTTTGAGAATTTTGGTCTAAGACTATATACATTGACTTTAAACTTATGCTTTAATTTTAATTGCATGTAGAACCCTTGTTAGGTCTGGCTTTGTTTTGTTGGCTATTTTAACCGTTTGAACGGATGTATATTTCATATCAATTAAACTCTTAGTTACGTAATCGAGGACGCGATTTTTAAATGCATTGCTGCCAACCAGACCCTACAAACGTCGATAAAGTATCCTCTGAATCGACACACACCAGAACAAAAGAAAAATACACGTAATGTCATGAAGATAAACGTCCCCGAATGCTTTACTCCAAGAAAGACACAGTATTTTACTTCCTGGACCGATTCAAACCAACACAACTTGTCGTACGACACATCCGGACGTCCGCGCTCCACTTTAAACACCAAAAAACCTCCTTGTACCTGCAAACGTCCATCCAGAGTCCTCTGAATCGTCACACACTTGCTGGGCTGGGCTCCTCCAGTGGTTATGGCCACTATCAACGAATCCAGTTCATCCCGTTTTTCCTTCAACTTCTTCACTAGGGATTCGATGGCTCTACGCGAGAAACCTTCGCTTTCGCCACCTTGCCGGTGACACATGAGCGTGTGGACGATGTTTTGACAGGCGTCAGCCGATGAGGGCACGTTCCCGCCACCCACGGTCACGTTGGCCATGGAAACAGTGAGGTTAGGTTCGAATGCGAGTGTTTTTCGCGCGCGGCTACATCGAAATGAATGATTTGAGCGAAAGAGAAACACGAAACGCGGGTATACCGGTCGCAGGAGATCTCGGAACTATTCCCAGTGAATTCTGGTGCGGCTAGGCATCGCTCGCAGTCCTTTTCGTGCGTCTAATTTAGATTTTGTCGACGTGAGCGGCGTTGCCACGTTTACCAACGCGTTTTCCCGCCAAAATTTCATTAGAGTTCATCATTTCTGGCTTCCTGGAAACCTTTTTACATATTTTATTCTCGCATTTGCTTGTGTTTGTTGACTATTGACTACGTATTCATATCGGGGAGGTTAAGATACACCGAGGGGTGTCTCACTATTGGAATTACATGTACATTTTCTTGGCAGTCGCTGGCAGTCTTATGACGGTCGCTGGCAGTCTTATGGCAGTCCCCTATAATAATTACATGGCAGTCATAGGCAGTCTTCTTCATAGTCATTGGCAGTCGCTTAGCAGTGAAAGGATATTTTGGCAGTACGTGTACATTTTTTATCTGAGTGAGACACCCCTCGAGATACACATTTTAAAATTATTATAAAGTATACAGGGTGCTTTAAAAACGTGTGGCGAGTATATACGTTTTTTTTTTAAATGCAACACCCTGTTTTTAATTTTATTTTTAGATTAGTTGTCCAACTTCAGAAACAATGGCATCAATGACAATTTTTTACCACACTGAAATCTAACATTTGTTGAAACAAATTGAAATATTACAAAAACTATTAATTTTAGGTATATAATATTATACACAAAAAAATTATAGAATTTAAAAAAAAACGTATGTTATATCAGCCACACTTTTTTGAAGCACACTGTATACTCTATAATAATTTTAAAATATGTATCTTAACCTTCTCTATAACTTTTATATTTAACATTTTTTTGTAAATCTCAAAACAAATGAGATAATGGACTTTACTCTGTCGTTGACTCACCCTGTACAGTCCATAGCTACTATTCCTATATGGCTACATTACTACCAATCTACAGGGTGGTCCGAACTGTATTCCGGAAACTTCGGCAGCATATTCTGCAGATAAAAATAAATAAAAAAGTTCGTATAAATGTATGTTAATGCTTAGTTTCGGAGATACAGGGTGTAGAAGTTTCATTTTTATTTCGATTTTTTCCAAATAATTTATGAAATAGCATCAATATTTGGATGAAAATCTGGAAGTTTTTTGACATGAGAAGTTTGATTTTGATGACAATATGACTCCTATTTGCAGAGGGCGCCAAGTATACATAGTTTTTAACAGATTTGAAGAGTAATAACTTTTCGAGCGTACCTGTATAAAACTACTGAGTAAAAAAATAAACATTTACGACGTTTTTTCTGTAAAAAGTATCTCTTCGTAAGAGATACTTTTTAGGTAAATTGTTACAGGCAAAACCGGCAAGTAAATCTTTCTGTGTAGAAGTGACTTTACCTATATTTCATCCTTTCTGAATGAAATCAGTAACTCTACTGAAATTTTATGAGATCCGGCAACGGTGGCGACAGATCGCAATTTAAATGCTAGAAAAGGACGGATCGAGTGAACGATAAGGACGAAGAAATATGTTGAAAGAGTGGGGGTTGAGGGGAAACGAAACAGGAGGAAGTTTTGGCGCCGTTGAGTGTTGTGTTGTGCTGAAACAGTGGCGGCGTAAGAAAAATATTTTTACAAATTGTATAATAATATTGTTTTATCCAACGGCCACTACTTATACAGACATTACTCACATGTATACAGGGTTGTTCACCACATACGACACGGAGTATTGTAGCAAAACGATGAGATTTTTACAAATTGTAAGCTTTGGGTTCGATGAAGGACTATTAGAGGTACAATTTAAAAATAATTTTACAAGATACAGAGTGTCCCAAATAAGTAAAAAATATCAAAGTTGTATTTTTTTAAATGGAACACCCTGTATATTATTACATTTTTAGTTTCTACGATTATAATAAAGGTAACTTTGATTAAGATTTATTATACTTAAACCTTACCGTTTTTGAAATATTTTCAATTTTGTGAAATTGCAGTAAAAATTTTAAGGCTTCATTTCTCCATGGGTATCAAAGTTTTTAATACTAAATATTTACTGAAGTTTATTTACTGATCAGTTATTGTGTTGCAATAATAAAAATAATACTATCTACGTTATACAGAGTGTCTAAAAATTTATTTTAAATAGTTATTAGTTCAAACGGCAATAACTTGTTTAATTTCAATGGAAATGACCCTGTATATTTTGAGAATCAGATGCACAATTTAATTGTCTATCAAATTATATTATACCATTTTTTACCTATCTGTTTAAGTTTCCGTAGAAAAAACATTTTCTTGTAATTTAGAACTTATTTATCAATATACCCATGCACTATTGACATATTAGATTATTTTTAAAGATGTACCAAATTTTTAAAGAGTACAGATACTGATATTGTCGATATAATTCGTTTATTTCATTAAAAAATAAAAAAAACTGTTTAAATATTTGTTAAAGAGGACCAATTAATATGATTCTAGTATTCAAAATACATTAACTGACTGTTTGCGTTGATTAATAATAATTGCTCCAAATACTAAAATACTGAATTTTGTATGGGCATTAGACAGTGTGATAAAAAGTAACACCTTAAAAATGATATTTCATTTTTTAATAAATGCTTATTTATAACAACAAAGACTTTAATTTGATAACTTATTATTATATTGATTTCTGACTCAAAAATCCACATTTATTTATAATAATTTATTAACGAACACAATTAAGTATGTCATTAATTAGTATCTGGGCGGAAATAATGGTGTTATATTTAATTAATGGTATACTCTTTTATAAAGATTTAAATAGTTTTTTTGCATACAAATGGGCTAGTAATATTATCGTTTTGCTAAAAACGATAATATTACTAGTCTGTACATTTTGTACATTTGCTGCTTTAAAAACAATCTAAAATGTCAATATTCCATGGATATATTTATAAATGAGGTCTAAATTATAAGAAACTGCATTTTCTACGAAAACTTGAAGGGATAGGTAAAAAATGGTATAATACAATGATAGACAATTTAATTGTGCATCTGATTCGCCTAAAATATACAGGGCATTCCATTTAAATTAAAGTTATTGCCGTTTGAAGCTAATAATTATTTAAAATAAATTTTTAGACACTCTGTATAAGGTAGTATTATTTTTATTATTGCAACACAATAACTGATCAGTAAATAAACTTCAGTAAATATTTAGTATTAAAAACTTTCATACCCTTGGAGAAATGAAGTCTTAAAATTTTTACTGCAATTTCACAAAATTGAAAATATTTCAAAAACGGAAAGGTTTAAGTATAATAAACCTTAATCAAATTTACCTTTATTTTAATCGTAGAAACTAAAAATGTAATAATATACAGGGCGTTCCATTTAAAAAAATACAACTTTGATATTTTTTATTTATTTGAGACACTCTGTATCTTGTAAAAATATTTTTAAATTGTAGCTCTAATAGTCCTTCAACGAACCCCAAACTTACAATTTGTAAAAATCTCATCGTTTAGCTACAATACTCCGTGTCGTATGTGGTGAACAACCCTGTATATGCATATAAAATAAACAATAACACACGCGTGAGTTTTTGAAGTTATAACAAACTAGTGTGTTATAACTTGAAATCTCTCTTCAAATCAAATTTTTCTTTAAAATCTGACTTGCTGGTTGATAATTCACTATTTATATTGTTATTATATTAACGGGATTTATCTAAATGACGAATAATCTTTCAAAAACATAAATAGAATATTATTGTATTATTTAGACCATTAAATTAGTATTTTTTACAGGCAACTCTAAACCAGTTTTAAGTTGAAGCTGTCAGAAAACATTATATTACTCTATTTAAATATATTTATTTCAGCAGAATTTCTGAAACTTAAAAATCTACGTTCCTACGCTACTGTACATTTATTGAAATCAGTCTATTGTTGTTATATTTCTTTAACATTGAGGAAGGTCAGTAATTGAATAGACAATAGCTCTTGGTTTGTACAAATTATATTTCAAATTTGAATTCTACATTATAATATGTATCTTTTTTCTTGTAATTAAAGCAAAATAGATAGAAGTATAATTATATGAGTTTTTATGTTTTGCAAAATACACAATAAGTATCTAGGTATTTCTTTAGAATATTTGTATATTTTTGGATAGTTGTAAATAAAGTTATAGGTACATATAAATCTAAAGTACCTATCTACAGAATAAAAGAATTAATATAGGTACTGTTAAATAAATTATAAAAATGTATAAATATTTAAGAAGGACCTTTCTTTGAACTAAAACTAATAAAATGGTATTATAAAGGGCTGTAAGGATTTATTTAATCCTATATTAATTCAACATTATAGGTATGCCATAAATTTTAATAGAATTCCTGATCCTTTATAAACTTTACAGAGAACGGTTTTTATGATTCTTTCAAACAATTCGTTTGTCTAAAATATATTATTTTACGACACCTTAGGTATAATTTGACACATTTTATGAAGGGTCAAACAAGTATTTTAAACCATAAGGGTCATTCAAGGGATATTATTATTATTAGGAAAGCCCGTTTAGCCCAGAATAAATAAACAAAATCATTGATAAATTTTATTTATTTTATTGCTATTTAACAATATATTTTAGTAAAATATAACGTTTGTTATATTTTACTAATTAATTTAAAATTAAATTTTTTAAATAATTCTTAAATATTTATTTAATTTTTCTGCGAAAGTAATCTTTAAACGAATTATTATAAACTATTATTCTTTTTTATAACTAAAATAATATAATAGATATTTTATTATAAACTAAATACCGTATGATCGAAAAAAAACGGCGTCCAGTTGGCTTGGAAATGACGATCGATGACATTTCCCATATAATTTTACATATAAAATGACAGCGATCTTCATTTCATAGCCATCGTTGACGCCGTTTTTATTCGATCATACGGTATATTGGCGATATATTTCGGTTAACTTGTTTACTATTTAATAAATTATTAATAGGTATAAAATTATGAAAAATAATCAAAAATTCTTTTTTTTGTAATTTAAAATTAAATATTTTTTTTACAATTAGTTTACTAAATTAAAAACTACCATTTTGTAATTTAAAAGCATTATTTAATAATAATATTATTGATTAATAAGTTTCTAGTGAGATTTCTATTTATTCTTATTAAATAAAATCATTAGAGGAAATAATATAATCATTACTGACCCTTGCGACATCTGTTGTTGAGGGACATTACTTCGACAAACTTATATGAGAAAGAAAACTACTTCATATACTTTATATAGATTTCTATTAAAGTATATATAGATTTTCCCTCTATCTAAACGGTTTTAGTTTAGCCCCGGGCTCATAGATGGCCTACTAACTTTAATTTTAAATTTGAATCAAAAACACAACAAAAAAATATTAAAATATGGTATTAAATAAATAAAACGATCAATATTCACATTCTGTGGTATTTTTTGGTAAGTTTTATTATTACAGGCATATATTAATATAAAAAAAAACAAAGTTACACCGATTTTATACTTATACGGGGTGTCTCTGTATTTCGTGGACATAGAACTATAGGTAGTATATATTTTTTAAATCAAAATAAGTTGAATGAACACAATTTACCTCTTTTCAAAGTGCTTTGTTTGTCTATTAGAAAACATCAAATTAAAAAAAAATAAACAAAAAAATAATAAAAACAAAAAAAAATAATAAGTTTAATTATTTGCTTTTTCCCTAGATGAGCCTGGACAGTTTGACTTGAACAAAAACCGACCATCCACCCATCTGAGAAGGGGTCAGAAAATTCCCAAAGTGAAAAAAGAAAACTTACCCAGAGAAAATAACACACATTTAGTCAGCATGGTCGGTGTCACAGCAATACTGAGATGCGATGTCCGACTCAGTGATGTCACGGTACTATGTTCTATATTTTGTTTTAGTTTTATGAGAAAAAATTTTCTTTTTTTTTAGGTAACCTGGATAAAACACACTACCTATGGTAATGAAAGTAACATGGAGGTGTTAAGTGTTAACACCAGCACAATAGTCGAGGACAAGAGGTTTTTGGTTACTAATGACATTGAAAGAAAGGTGAATTTAAAAAATTTGAAGGTATAATGTTAGATTCATCTAAAAAAGCGTGGTCGTGGATTTTAACGTGTAAAACAGTGATGTAGACAGCTTAATGAAAGATCAAATGAATTAAAAAGAGATAAAAGTTGGGTTGATACATTTCTTCTATGCGGTATTGCCGGATTTTGCATCAAAATTTCAAACTGCACAGGTAGGAGTTTACGAAAAATGTTGAAACCTTATTTTTCACATTTTACTACAGAGAGCTGTAGTAGATTATTATATTTAGTTTAAATATATTATCTTCATTTCAGTAGTACACATGAAAGTTTTTAAAACAGTTTACGAACCGGCAACACTGTATTCGCTTTTTATTTTGTCTCTCTGTCTGTTAACCGGTCGTTTATATTTATCTCACTCGCATGCATTAAAATACACACCACGGAGATGGAGTGCCCAGGACAGTATATCATATATATAGATTTTCTTGATATTTTTACAAAAAAATTAGATTTTTTTGATGTTTTTTTTAGATGTGGAAGCTTCATATTAGGTACAGCCAGCGTAAAGATGTAGGTAGGTATGAGTGCCAAGTAGGATATCAGCCAACATTCAGTATATACGTCGATTTAGATTTGTTTGGTAAGTTATGCTACTATTTAGCTACATTCTCTTCTGTCTTAACTAATTTTACTTGATACGTTTTGACTGAACAGCTAAAACTGACTTGAAAAACGTTATGTGTAGACGGTGCTTTATCTCTTCTGTTTTGTATAAGGTATGGGACAGTGTATATACCGTATGATCGAAAAAAAACGGCGTCAAAAACGCCTGGGGAAGGACAAAGGATGATAATTTTGGCGAGGACAATCTCTAGATGTCATTTACTAAAAATTGATTGGGATAGAACGTTTAGAGTTTCCAATTAGTCATCAAGGCGCCGAATATATTCATGTGTGGTTGGGGCCAAGTAGGTGAATGACGTGCAATGCTTGACCTCGCCAAAATTATCATCATTTATCATTCCGCAGCATTTATTGACGCCTTTTTTTTCGAACCTAAGGTATTATTTAAAATTGTAACTAAACAATAATGATTCATAAAGAAACTAAGTACAGATAAATTAAAAAAAAACAAAAAGAATTAAAAATAAAAACATAAATAGAGCCGCTAGACAGGACAATTTTTGAAATGGCCTTTTTCATTTCAAAATTTCTGATATGATTGATCCCCAATGCTATTAATAATTGTGAAGCAATACAGCGGTTTGTTACAGAAACAATCATTTTTAGCGTTCATATATAGCTGGATATCTATCTGTTTTCTCTCTATTTCGAAACAGACGTTTTGCTGCAGATATTGCGGTCCTTGTAATCATGATGTAATCGATTTATGTCAAACGGAGGAACGACACGAAATCCTTCGAACTATAATAGTTTGGACGGTTTTTTTTTCTTTTTTGTGGTTAATATTTTATATGAATTTATACAGGATGTTTCTCAAAATTGGCTCACCGCCCAATAACTTTTTTATTTTTTCAGATAAAGAAACTTGATTTGGTAGTGACACTATATGACATAAATTAGAATTGATTGACGTATTCAATTGTTTTCGGTCACTTCCTGTTTCACCGGAAATTACTACTACTTTTGATTTTTACATGACACCTTCAGTATTTTTTTACTTTATTCGATAGAAAATAACACTCTGAATAGAATTACATATTATAAGTCAACTTTTGACATTTTCGCATATGGTTTATTTGAAATTGTATTGAAATTGTCGTAGATTAACGGTATTAACCACTTTAGAACAAGCGAATTTTTTTATTAAGAATGCGTTTTTCACAAAATATTCGTAATAAAACAGTTTTTTTTCTATTTTAAATATGATACGGGGACATACTGTATATTACTTACCAAAAGTTATCTTTTTTTTAGAAGCCAGAGCTGTTATACTGGGCCCCAGCATCAGGGAAGTGGACAGGGGATTCCCCATACGACTGAGTTGCATTCTAAACATGACAGAGCATTACAAAATGTATCGCATTCCACCAACATACATGTTTTGGTAAGAAAAATAGTAGATATTACTTAGTTACACTTAGTTATTACACCATGGGGCCCGGGCCCCATGGGCCCCCCCTCTGTATCCGCCACTGGGGGTAATGCACACAACTTTTACAATTCATACAATTTAGTATATTGAAGGCAATCAAAAGAACTACAAGAAGTTAAAATAATGGTAAAAGATAAGTGTAAAATAAAATCTAACCCCTTCAATGGGTAATGTATGATTTAAATTATGATCTACCATTAAGTGATCTAGGATTTAAATAAACGCCTTTATTGTAAAAAAATTTTACAATTTGTAGACAAAGGTAAAGTAAACAAACAAAAGAGAATACAAAACAAGTATACAAATTTTATTGTCAGTCTTATTGTTTAAAATAAACATTAATAAATGTTTACAATGTCAAAGAATAAAAAAATTAAATTAATACTCAAAAATATTTAGAAAGTTTATAGAAAATATGGTAATGGCAAATATTAGACCAGTGTTTACAAGATCAAATTCGATTATCAAAATATAAGTCATTTAAAAGTAATTTAAAGTAAATAGGATTTCAATGCTTTGCGAAATGAAGAAAATGATGTTTTCGATTTGATTTCAAATGGCACGTGATTGTGCATTTTTTTCGAGTTGTATAATATTGAGCTTTTAACTAACTCTGAGCGTGGGGTAGGTAGATAAAGATCTTGCTCCGCGTTCCTGAGTGGATAAGTGTGAGATAGATGGCCTTTCTTGAGAAGCTGATACATGCTTACGTATTAGGCAAACGGATTCAAATATAAATAAGGAAGGTAGAGTTATTATTTTTAATTTTTTTAATAAGTCCTGGCAATGAGTTCTGCTGTTTAGTCTCAGTGAATATCGAGCAGCTCTCTTCTGGAGCTTGAAAATACGGTCAAATTGAGTCGCACAACACGTACCCCAGAATGGAAGGGCATACCTGAGGTGCGATTCAAAAAATGCATAATAAACAGTTCTAGCCACTGACAAAAACAGATCTTAATGCAAAACAGGCAGAGCTCAATTTTTTCGACAAAGCCTCGATATGCATGTCCCATTTTAGAGAATTGTCTACAACAAGCCCTAAGAATTTTACAGACTGATTTTACAGATAATTATTTCAGAATCTCACGCTTACATTTACAATTTTTTCAAAAGGAACATTAAAAAAAGCTACTTGAGCTATCTGTATAACTAACACTTTATTTTTTTGAATAAAATAAATATGAAAAAAAATTATGGAGGATTAAAAAAAATAAAAATTAAAAAAAAATCACTTTTTTAGGTACCACGGTAGCAGAATGATTAACTACGACCCCAAAGATGGCGCTGTTGTCAGAGAGGGCCGTTTAGGGACAGAGTTAATCTTCCAAAGGGCCTTACCAGCTCATGCTGGTAATTATTCATGTGTGCCCTCCAATGCCAGGCAGGCCAGTGTACAGGTTATTGTGCATTACCCAGGTAAATAGGGCAACTAAAACTAAGTGCCTTTTTTAAATCAATTGAGCAGGATGAATAAAAAATTAGCTTTATTTTGATGTCTCTCTAATCTAGGCCAAGAATAGAATTTTTTAATTTGTTGGTGTATTTGGGATATAGATTTTAATAATGTATCTCAAAGAATAAATAAGTCTCTAAATAATATGTTCCTTCTCTTTCTGCTACTCTATGAGAGTATGGATATTATGAAAAAAATGCATTAACTCTGTGTCTCTCCGCGATGATTATGACCTATTTTTGTCTTCATTTGGACCATTTAACGGTTTAGAGATCTCTCTCTAAGAAGTTTTTTTTTTTTGGATATGTGGCCAGAGTATCTTAAATAAGATTGGTTTATAGATGTTGAGACGGTCTAGATTCGATAGTAAGTTATTCTGTAAGAACTGTGATTTCGTAATCTTCAACATCCAGGTCTCTGAGGTATAAGTAGCAAAAAAAAATTAGGGCCCTTAGTAGTCTTTAGTTCATTGCTAAGTAAAACAGCTGAATCATTCGTTGATTTATTGATTTTAGTTATGAAATTGCGTGCTATACACACGTTTTTTTATATCTGCTTCAAATTAATGATTTCAAGATCAAATGGAGATATACAGGGTGGTCCGAACTGTATTCCGGAAACTTCGTTTCGTATAAATGCATGTCCTAAAATGCTTAGTTTCGGAGATACAGGGTGTAGTAAGTTTCATTTTTATTACGATTTTTTCTAAATAATTTATGAAGTAACGTCAATATTCGGATGAAAATTTGTGTCAGGGACTTTTTTGACAAAAGAAATTTGATTTTGATGTCAATATGACTCCTACTTGTAGAGGACGCCACCTACATATTTTTTTACTGGTTTGAAGAGTAATAACTTTTCGTCCGCACCTGTATAAAACTGCTGAGTAAAAAAATATACCTTTACTACGTTTTTTACGTAAAAAAGGTCTCTTGGTAAAAATCGCTACGAGTAAAGGTTCTCGAGATATTTGGAATCGAAATTATCAATACCTATTTTCATTGACATAAATTAAAGGTAGGTTGACATCAAAATCAAATTTCAAAGTTTTTTTACGTATTTTTCGTATATAAAATATTCTGCCGAAGTTTGCGGAATACAGTTCGGACCACCCTGTATATTTCAGTCATCGCTAATAGCATTTTTCTTTTACAGACATTTTCCATCGAAAATTTTGATATTTTTACTCTGTATGACCATAAATTCAATACGAAATTAATAAAATACCAATTTTAACCTACAAAACTATCGAAATAATGAGATTTTCTCAAATTTTCTCTGTTCTTATTTTTAGGAGAACAATTACCTTCGGCCTCTCCACTCAATCAATCGTCTCCCAGTCGCTTCAGGCCCTTTTTAGGGCTGTTGTTGCTCTCCCTGATGACGGTGGCTGTAGAAACAAGCTCTGTTTACCGATAAGAGCAAACGTGAGGAGTGTAACCAATGAGGAGGGCGGGGAATGAAGAGAATGAATGGAATTGTGGGGCAACTCAGAGAAGTGGAAAGGTTAAAATACATGACTTTTGGTGAAATCGAAGATATATTAATGGTTTAAAAGTGTTTTTGTGAAATTTTCGAGCTTTTTAGTACTTAAAAATCTAAAATTTGTTATACCGGGTGGTTGCAAATTTCGAACAGTGAAAAATTATCATGATTTTTTTATCAAGCTCTATACAGGGTTTTTCACCACATACGACACGGAGTATTGTAGCTAGACGATTAGATTTTTGCAAATTGTAAGTTTTGGGTTCGTTGAAGGACTATTAGAGCTCCAATTTAAAAATATTTTTACAAGATACAGAGTGTCCCAAATAAATAAAAAATATCAAAGTTGTATTTTTTTAAATGGAACACCCTGTATATTATTACATTTTTAGTTTCTACGATTAAAATAAAGGTAAATTTGATTAAGGTTTATCACACTTAAACTTTACCGTTTTTGAAATATTTTCAATTGTGTGAAATTGCAGTAAAAATTTTAAGACTTCGTTTCTCCAAGGGTATCGAAGTTTTTAATACTAAATATTTACTGAAGTTTATTTATTGATCAGTTATTGTGTTGCAATGATAAAAATAATACTACCTCATACAGAGTGTCTAAAAATTTATTTTAAATAATTACTAGCTTTAAACGGCAATAACTTGTTTAATTTAAATGGAACACCCTGTATATTTTAGGAGTATCGGATGCAGAATTTAATTGTCTATCAAATGGTATTATAGCATTTTTTACTTATATCTTCAATTTTTTGTAGAAAATGCATTTTCTTATAATTTAGACCTCATTTATCAATATACCCATGGAATATTGATATTTTAGATTATTTTTAAAGATGTAACAAATTTTTAAAGAGTACAGATACTAATATTGTGGATAAAGTTGGTTTATTTCATTAAAAAATAAAAAAAAATGTTTAAATATTTTTTGTTAAAGAGGGCCAATTAATATGATCCCAGTATTCAAACTACATTAATTGGCTGTTTACGTTGATTAGTAATAATTGCTCCAAATACTAAAAAACTGAATTTTGTGTGTGTATTAGACAGTGTGGTATTTATAAGAACAGAGACGTTCATTTTCATAACTTATTATTATATTGATTTCTGAGCCAAATCCACATTTATTTAGAATACTTTATTAATTAGAACAATTTAAAAGTATGTAATTAACTAATTTTTGGTCAGAAATAATGGTGGTAAATTTAATTGGTATACTCTTTTACAAAGATTTAAATAGTTTTTTTGTATACCAATGATCTTGCAATATTTACCACCTGTACATTTGGTACATATATGTTGCTTTAAAAAAATCTGAAATGTCAATATATTCCATGGGTATAGTGATAAATGAGGTCTAAATTATAAGAAAGTGCATTTTCTACGAAAACTTGAAGAGATAGGTAAAAAATGGTATAATAAAATTTGATAGACAATTAAATTGTGCATATAATTCACGTAAAACATACAGGGTGTTCCATTTAAATTAAACAAGTTATTGCCGTTTAAAGCTAGTAATTATTTAATATAAATTTTTGGACACTCTGTATAAGATAGTGAAATTTTTATTATTGCAACACAATATCTGATCAATAAATAATCTCCAGTAAATATTTAGTACTAAAAACTTTGATAACCTTGGAGAAATGAGGCCTTAAAGTTTTTACTTCAATTTCATAAAATTGAAAATATTTCAAAAACGGTAAGGTTTAAGTGTGATAAACCCTAATCAAATTTATCTTTATTTTAATCGTAGAATCTAAAAATAGAATAATATACAGGGAGTTCCATTTAAAAAAATGCAACTATAATATTTTTTACTTATTTGGGACACTCTGTATCTTGTAAAAGTATTTTTAAATTGTAGCTCTAATAGTCCTTCAACGAACCCAAAACTTACGATTTGTAGAAATCTAATCGTTTAGCTACAATACTGTAGCGAACAACGCTGTATACAGCTTGCAAAAAAAATCATGAAAATAGGGCTAAAAATAACAAAAATATAACACTTGACCAAAAATTTCTGCGTTTTTTTTTGCATCTAAGTCTATATATATTTCTTGAAGAAAATTCTTTAGTTATAAAATATTACAGAATATTCAAATTACATTCAGAAATATAATGTATATATCTTAAAATTATCAATAATAGTCATAAATCTCTTTAAATTTTGTGTAACTGTGCATTTATTCGTCTATATTTCCCGGAATTGGTACCTAAATATTAATTCCCGGAATTTCAAAGGTAGATTATTAAGAAAATGTTGAGTTAAGCTGCTTATTCAAAGTATTTCGCGGAAAATCTGCCTCTCGTCTTCAGGTAACTGCAAATTATTAACCTATACCTACTAAATTCATCGTGTTATAATATTTATAATGAATTTCAACTATGCATTAGTGTACTAAAAGGATATAACCAAAAAGAAGCTATAAATTCCTGGGTACCTAGTTTGATAAAATTTCTGAAAATACTTTGAACGTGTTTTAGTTGTTCTGAAATATACCTCAAATATTTCATAGAAAATGTTGTTAATCTTTAAGTCTTTTCATTTCATTTAATATCGTATTACTTATTATACAGAGTGAGTCTTAAATAAGTGCAAATATTTTAGGGGTAGTATAATTTGACACTGGAAACAGGATTATGACGATTAAAACAGCGATTAGCGATTAAGACATTATCATAAATCATTTTTTTTAATGGAAACCCACTTTTTTTTATTTCACTAGTGAAAAGGCTTTTCAATTCGTTACTTTTTGACTATAATACATGTTCCTATACCTAAAATAATTTTTTTTTAAGTTATTTAAGATTTGGTTACCCATTTAAAATAAGAAAGTTGCTGTCAACTTCCGGTAGTTCCGGAAGTGCCGCCATATTGAAAATATTTTTAATCGGTAGATCTCGTTGCATAAACAATGATGTGCAGAAAATCTCCTATCTAGATATTGTGGTGCTCTAGAAACTTCTAATGCACGCTTAGCCTGGCGGACACCCTGTAAGCCACCCTTAAAATATTTGCACTTATTTTAAGACTCACTCTGTATAGTAGGGGATTAATATAAATAAAACTACGACTAATATCAATATGTACATTTAATTTTAATTAATTAATTTATTTATACACGAATATAATTATTTATAATAAAATAACAGATTCTTTTGTAACATTCAAGAAACCAACTTCAGCTCATTTGAACAAAAAACCTTTCAATATCCATCTTTTATACTAAATAAAAACAATTTTTAAATTAGTACAAATTCATTTGAATATTGAAAAGTTCTTGCATTTTTTATAATAATAATTTAATATGGATAATCTATACCATTCTCACTTTCTTTGATGATGATACTATGACAGAGGTGATCTATGACGTATTTTAATGACATATAGTATATGAATATTAGTTTGAAACAAATATTTTTATATTTTTTTTGTTTTAATTAGTAGGTAGGGTCTATAACTATGATAAAACTTTTAATTTTTGCTTTGATTTTGTGAAAATTTTATTAAAAAGATATGAAAACCAAGTAAATGATGCAAAATATCCATTTATTAAAAATAAAACACTTAAAATTAAAACATCTAAAATAGTGTTTTATTAAAGTATGTAAAGTTCTATTTTTCCAAAAAATATCTATGCTAAGAATAATATTTTCTGTTTAATTTGTATAAACAAATATTACAATTATTATTACAAAGTTTCTTAGTTGGATACACTGATAATAAAAGCAGTTATACTAGATTCCAATTCAAAATTTCTCCAAGTTTCTGGAAGTTTATAATAAGAAAATGTACCTACGTTAAAACTATAGAATTTACAAACTTTACTAGCTATGATAATTAATTACATTTTCAGTTAACTATTTGTCTGATTGTGAGCAAAAATTAAAAGTTTTTTAATATTATTTTAAGGCTAACTCTGTAGTTTTTACATTGTCATACAAAAGTTTATTAAGAATTAATTTCAATAGTATTAATTATATATCTTACAGGTTATAATCTATTTTGATTTGTATCGATATAAAGAAAAATACAAATAAAAATGTGTAAATACTTTTATAAAGGAATTTAAATACATCATAATATATTGACATTATTTGTGTAAATTTGAAGAAAACTTAATATTAACTGTTTTCAAGTTTATTTATTTTATATACAAATTTATGTCTATACTACACAACATTTGTATTTTACAAAATATATAATTTCATAAATTAACTATGTGTTTTATTTTAGTTCTTCGTATTAATACAAAAAGAGGAGTATGTAATTGTGTTATTAAGAAAAAGAGAATACTAAAAAAATTGAGGACAGTGATGTGTATTATTGCAAATTTATATTTTTTAATTTTGATATATTAAAATTAACTTAAAATTAATTTTGGTTTCTCGTACACTCTTTTTATATTTGTAAACTTTTTTGGCATTTTCAATAACACTATCTCTCTATTAACTGTTTATATTTTGATTTGTTTATTAAGATATAACACAGACAGAGTATGGAGCTATAATATATTACATGTCTTGTGTCTCTCCAACAAAAAGTGTTGCATAACTCACCGTTATCTGAAATACTCCTAAATCCTCAAAAGAAAACATGTAAAAGAAACAAAACTAAATTTTTCAGTTTTTTAAGTATATTCAAAGATGCTAAATGGATTTATTATAAACAAAAATTGAGTTTTAATCAAGAGAGAGCATATTCTTATAGATTTATTTAATTTAAATTGAAAAAACTATAGGAAATTGTATTTTACCTCTTAAAACTCGCATATTTTATACAATTCTTCAATTAGCACATCGTTAACTAAATAATCGTCACCCACTTCTTCCAGTAAGGTAGTGTATAACTCACCGTTTTCTAAAATACTCCTAAATCCTCAAAGAAAAAAACAAAAAGAACAAAACTAAATTTTTCAACCTTTTTAGGAGAGTCTAAAGAGACACTAAATTCATTTAATATAAACAGAAATTAAAAGAGCGTTTTTTGATGGTTTCATTTAACATAAATCGGTAAAAATTCAAGAAAATTTTCTTCAATTCCTACATTTTGTACAAATCTTCACAAAACTCATCGCCACTGGAGTCTACATCGTCCACCTCCTCCAGTAAGGTGTTGCATAACTCACCGTTTTCTAAAATACTCCTAGATCCTCAAAGAAAAAACAAAAAAAGACAAAACTAAATTTTTCAACCTTTTTAGGAGACTCTAAAGAGACACTAAATTCATTTAATATAAACAGAAATTAAAAGAGCGTTTTTTGATGGTTTTATTTAACATAAATCGGTAAAAATTCAAGAAAATTTTCTTCAATTCCAACATTTTGTACAAATCTTCACAAAACTCATCGCCACTGGAGTCTACATTGTCCACCTCCTCCAGTAAGGTGTTGCATAACTCACAGTTTTCTAAAATACTCCTAAATCCTCAAAGAAAAAAACAAAAAGAACAAAACTAAATTTTTCAACCTTTTAAGGACTCTAAAGAGACACTAAATTCATTTAATATAAACAGAAATTAAAAGAGCGTTTTTTGATGGTTTCATTTAACATAAATGGGTAAAAATTCAAGAAAATTTTCTTCAATTCCTACGTTTTGTACAAATCTTCACAAAACTCATCACCACTGGAGTCTACATCGTCCACCTCCTCCAGTAAGGTGTTGCATAACTCACCGTTTTCTAAAATACTCCTAGATCCTCAAAGAAAAAACAAAAAAAGACAAAACTAAATTTTTCAACCTTTTTAGGAGACTCTAAAGGGACACTAAATTCATTTAATATAAACAGAAATTAAAAGAGCATTTTTTGATGGTTTCATTTAACATAAATGGGTAAAAATTCAAGAAAATTTTCTTCAATTCCTACATTTTGTACAAATCTTCACAAAACTTATTGCCACTGGAGTCTACATCGTCCACCTCCTTCAGTAAGGTGTTGCATAACTCACCGTTTTCTAAAACACTCCTAAATCCTCAAAGAAAAAACAAAAAAAAAGAACAAATTTAAATTTTCCAACCTTTTCAGGAGACTTTAAAAAGACACTAAATTCATTTACTTAACATAACTTAAAAGAGCATTTCTTGTTAGTTTTATTTAAATTAAATCGGTAAAAATTCAAGAAAATTTACTTCAACTCCCACATTTTGTACAAATCTTCACAAAACTCATCGCCACTGGCATCTACATCGTCCACGTCCTCCAGAAAGGTGTTGCATAACTCACCGTTATCTAAAACAGTGCTAAATCCTCCCGGCCCCCTGTTCTGCTAAAACTAGCACACCACCACGGCCAGGGAGAAAACGACGAGCAGCCAGGAGGACGGGCTGCATCGGAGCCACGATAATCCCCTGCCGCCGTGTTGCATAGCTGCGGGATTTTCACCTGCAAAATAACGAACAAGATGAGCAAAACGAGATTTGGGGCCAGCTAGCGTGTGCTGGTAAGTGAAATAAATGGAAAAAGGGTACGGGAGGAAAAACTAGTGCTAAGGATTTAAAGGTATTATTTAGTTTGGGATTTGGTGGCTTTCCCGCGATTATTTTAAATCTAACTTTGTTTTGGCACGTATTTGGGATTACGAGTATGGAACACAATAATAGAAATAATAATAATCCCATCAAAAATATAGAATGTAAAATTCCAAGTCTCGCAACACAATTCTTTTACTTTTAAAAGTTCTAAGATCTTTTTTTATGAATTTTTTAGTAAGGAGTATATAATTAATATCAACTTTAATTCGTAAATTCAGTTTTTTATCAACTTTAGTATTTGGCATATTATACAGGGTTAATCGAGGGGTTGTTTTTTATCCTAACTTTAAAACCAAGAATCAAGAAGTAATGATAATTTAAAAAGTTGCAAATTGATCGTTATCAGTTCATTTCGCTCTTAAAAAATAACCAAAGCATGTATTGACATGAATCATAAAACAAAATACCCAGGAGAAATGGTTCTGACCGTAAATTTATATTTTAGGAAAAGTTAAAGACGAAATTATTGCACCCCCCAGGTTGTGACATAGGTTTTTCCAAACTTGTACACTTTACATAAAACCCAGTAGTTAAATAATCAAACAAAATTGTTAGAATGACATAGTTTGAATTTATAAAATATAAATATAAAATTAGCGCTAAAAATCGTTTCTTTTTAACAACATCAACTTCAATATAGCTTAGAATAATTAAGGATTCCTCTAATAAGTAAAAACTATCAAAATCATCAATAGTCAGATATTTCGCGCTGTCATACAAATTCACATTTATCTTTCACACTCTCAAGAACAAAGCCGAAGATTCTCCATCAACCTCTTCCCCGGTCTGTTCCACTACTAATTTCATGCTTGATGGTCCCTTCCCGATTTTATAGATGGCGTCTCCAGCGTCTTATGAAGAGAAATCGCCTCCACACGCGTGCTTGTCTAATATAGAGCAAGTAAACTGAACGGCATCGTTGCCACGTCGTTAATTTTATGAAATTATCTGGTGTTATTTCCGTAAAATATGCTAGAGAACGTCTCTGAATATATGTTAGCTCTGCGTATGCGATAGCTCTGCTGTAAAAAGTTGCCACATTTCTTTATTTACTTCCTGACATTGTCATTCGTTTTGAAATTTTAGTTTTGTATTACGAGTTTTTGGTTTAAATAGATAGTGTTATACACTTTATTAAAATATTTTGAACGGGAAAGCGGTAGTAACGGCCCTTTATGTCCCTTAAGTGCTGTCAATGAGGGGAGTTTTGTTAATTTAAATAATAACTGATTATATATTTTTATAATTAATCTATTCTTGTTTCCTGAAATATTTTGAATAAAAGAAAATATGTGAAATTGAGCAACGCTGTGCCGGTCAAGCTTAATCACGTGACTAAAAGTTTGTTCGGTATGAACTGTATAGTATACAGTAAATATATAGATTAACGCCGCTCGTTGTAGGAACTTTGTTTGCTATAGTCTGTGAAACGAATAACTTTGAATTTGACAGTTCCCACGGGCTTTTCTAGTGTTAATTTTATTAGGTTAGCAACTTGCGGCCATGCTGACGCGATGCCGTCTCTAATAGAACAGCCTCGGAGCGAGATTTATGACGTCACGCTAGTTAGATACTACGGATTAATAAATATGTTGTAGAATACATGGAAAACATCATTATTCCTCGTATTTTTGGTTTGTATTTTAAAAATGATATAGTTTACATGAAATATACATAATATGCAGTTAATAAATACAATATATACCTATTTATAGTAATAAATACATTGTCAAATAAACTATGAACCATACAAATGCAACAAATGTTTTACGATATACAAATAATGAATAGATAATGGGTAAAATGTAAAATATATTTTAAATTTCGGGGTTTGAAAATCGATTTAATTTAACAAAAAAACATTCAATATCTACTAATAGTGATGTATTGTTATTTGCATTCACAAAATTTATCCCAAGAAAATAAAAAATCTTAGAATAATTTTATATATATTTTAATCATATAAAATGACAGCGATCTTTATTTCATGGCTATCGCTGACGCCTTTTTTTCTATGATATTGTATTATTTGCAAATATAATGTTTTGAACATTGATACTTGCAAAATATACATATAAATTTTGTGAATGCAAATAATAATAGATCACTATTAGTAGATATTGAATGTTTTTTTGTTAGATTAGATCGACAACTCCAAAATTTAAAATATATTTTACATTTTACACATTATCTTATGTACCTATTCATTATTTGTATATTATAAAACATTTGCTGCATTTGTATGGTTTATAGTTTATTTGCCAAAGTTTTTATTACTATAAATAGGTATTTAATATATATACAATTTATAAATATATTGTATTTATTAACTGTATATTATGTATATTTCATGTAAACTATATCATTTTTAAAATGCAAACCAAAAATACGAGGAATAATTATGTTTTCCATGTATTCTACAACATATTTATTAATCCGTAGTATCTAACTAGCGTGACGTCATAAATCTCGCTCCGAGGCTGTTCTATTAGAGACGGCATTGGTTTGATATTTAGAAATGTCAAAAGCTGATGACATTTTACTTTTGGCAATTATGACATTTTGTGTTGATTTTTGCAAGAAGAGGAAGAACTGTCACTTGTTTTATTATTTTCCTTTTCTATTTCACGAAAGTAAAAAGAGTTACCTATCTGATTCGTTCAGGCACTCGATTTAAAAAATATCAGTAACTTTTTTGACAGAGGGATTTTATATTTGTCATGTTGGTAAAAAATTCAAGTTAAGTTATTCATTTTATAGACTATACCAGGTTACTATTGCATTACATGACCTGTTCATAAATTGACGGTTGTTGTCAATCAAGTTCAGTTTTTTGTCAAAAAAACGCCTTAATTCCCGTCAATAATGTTATTCTTGTAAATGGAGTTAAGTTATGTTAAAAGCTTATGTTAATTCAGTAAGGAATAAATAGAATTAATAAAAGTATACTTAAAAAAAATGTTTTTTCTTCTCGTTAAAAACAAACAGAGGCAGATAATTTTTCCCTGTACCCATCCATTACCCACTGTGACCAGCGATCACTCCAAAACTAGTCCAGTCTAATTAAACTAAATCGGTCCCATTTATTCCCGTCGCATTCCAGAATCCGGTCTGGAACGTTCGTACGGGGCGGTTTTTGCGGGACATTGATTAACTATCCCCTGGGATAGGCATTCGCTACACTTTTCCCAAGAAGAAAAGGCATTTTAAAATAAATACCTTTCCTAAGAATTTTTGTCTTAAAAATGTTTAAAATCCAACTATAATGACTCTTAATTTCAACAACAGAAAAATTTTATCCTGCACAGAAAAAACAATTTACAAAGTATTTTCAACAATAGTCTTATTATTGAGAGTATACCCATTTCATACAAACATCGTACAGTTAACAGAAATATTATAATCATTTTAGTTTTCGATTTAGAACATAACATGTTCAGCAAATAAAAGCATTCATTAATGGTAAACTGATCCCTCCAAATAAATATAATGTAACTAATCGTTAAAGCTAATATTAGATATTTTGCAGGGCCATTTTAATAATATTATTGTTGCAAGTAGAGTTGCTTTTTTTCTATCAAAGCGTTGCTTACATTACAACGATTAAACATATTATGGTTTAGCACATTTTACCTTACAACAAATTATTTAACTGTCATGTAAAATATAACGCAGGTTTGCACCGAACGCAGTAAATTTTGTTTTGGTTTGGTTTGAACCAACGCTTGTTTTGTTTTATTGTTTATACGACTATACTACTTCTGGTGCTTCTTGGATGGAGTGGGAGAATACACTTGTTTGCTGGTATTGTGTAGTGGCAGGACGCCTTCTAAAAATATATTTTACTTATTATTTCGAGACAACGTAGAATACTGTGAAATATGTTAAAAGTTGTAACAGATTCTCATCACGTACAGATTACTAAACAGTCCCAACGACACTAATAACTTCTGCGACACGATTCGAGCAGAATTACAGACGCGATATGATCGAAACTCGTACAGCGGAATTACGCTTAAAGCACAAGTGAAAAGGTCTACCGCTTTACCCAAAACCAAGCGGTAATTTACAGAAATGTTTTCCAGAGACTTACTCCTCACTCCTAGCCTCTCTTTTCTTATGCTCCTCACGAAACCTCACTTTGCATGCATCCTGCAACTCTCCGTTCTCGGTAAATACGACCAGGCTTCGCTATCTTAGAGTTGCACATTTGCCAACAACGTTGTGGCATATTTATGTCGCCAGGTGCTTTATGTTTTTTAAGCGCGCCACAGCCAGAGGGGTTGTTGGGGAGGAGGGAGGTGATATGGGAGGGGAGAAGATGGGGTTTAAATGGCGGATTCTCGTCTAGTCTAGTTTTCGTAAGGAGGCAAAAAGTTAGTAAGCGATCTTCATGCTTGCATGGAATATTAATTTTCTGACACAGCATCGGAGTTGAGCGTTGTATCATATTTTTTAGTGTATGTTATCGGTGACAGGTTTTTAATAAGGGTTTTTTACTAAACGGTATGTCTGATCTAAATAAGCCTTTAAATAAAAAGAATTAAGGAAGGAGTATCATACCGTTTAATTTTTTATTGTAAAAAAAGCCTTTTGATTCTGTGACACATTATAAAATAGTTCGGAGTACCCAAGAAATTTATTACAATGTGTAAAAGCCTCCATATCAACAACAATAAGTCAAAAGTAACACATCACGGATCACTTCGATTCCTTCCTAACAAATACAACAGGAGTTTGGTTTGGTTTTCGCAGGGATGTGTCTTAGCGCCTCTCCTATTCAACTGTTGAAAATTTAGACTTTACAAAATCCAGCAGAAAAGCTTGGGCATTATTACAAAAACTGGGTGG